GCGCGCCGCCGCGCGCAGGGTGGGTGGGCCCGCGCCCCCCCCGCCACTCAGTCCCCAGCTTGGATGGATGTTCCCACCTCCTGCCACCCGCCCGCACGATCTTCCGTCTGGCAGGGTCCCTCTCCTTGGAGATGTTGCTCAGGAGCCAGGGGGTCCGGCGGCCAGGGACGGCACGGAGCTTGCTGGAGGCGATGGGATGCTTCTGAGGGGTCCTGGAGCGAAGATGGACTTTCTTCACAGGTTTTGGGTAAAGGAAGATGCCAGGGAAGACGGGCTCCTGGGCCGGGGCTTTGCGCTTCCTCGGCTGCAGCCTGGTCACATAGACCTTCTCCTGGGCTTTCGGAGCCAGGGGGTCCGGCGGCCAGGGACGGCACGGAGCTTGCTGGAGGCGATGGGATGCTTCTGAGGGGTCCTGGAGCGAAGATGGACTTTCTTCACAGGTTTTGGGTAAAGGAAGATGCCAGGGAAGACGGGCTCCTGGGCCGGGGCTTTGCGCTTCCTCGGCTGCAGCCTGGTCACATAGACCTTCTCCTGGGCTTTCTGGGGCTTTTTGTCCTCCCTGGGTGCTGCAGGCTTGCTGGGACCTGGCATTTTGGCTTTGCCACCAAAGATGGGAACAGAGAGGTGGGGTTGGAGGCTCAGAGCCCCGGCACGCTTCGAAGATGCCAGCAGCCCCAGTTCATCCTCCTCGCCCTCGCTGGGATCCTGGGGTAACCAACTGAGCATCCGCCCATGGACCTGCTCCGGCGCAGGGCCCACGTCCTCCTCGCCGTGGAGGTCCTCGGGGACGGCCGCCGGACTGGCGCTGGCCTGGCGGGATGCGCTCCATCTTCCTGGCTGCCCAGGCGTGCTCGCCTCGTCCCGGGCCTGACCCTGCTTGTGGCGAAAGCTGTAATAGTCCAGGTCGTCTCCATAATCCCTGGTGGCCGGTGGGGTCTCTTTCCCCTTGGCTCCGGGTATTGGCCCAAAGCTCTTTTCCTTGGCTTCAAGAGGTGGGTCTGTGGGCTCAGGGCTGTCCACTTCTTCCTCCTCCTCCTCATCCTCGAGGAAATCTAGGGAGTAAAGGCAGAGATAAATACCCCAAGGGTCCCGGCCGCTCGGCGCACACTTCCCCTGCAGCATGCTGGCCCAAGACAAGGAGGCAAAGCTTGTCTCCAGCAAGAGATTAACCTGCAAACGGCCGCTGGGCAAGGGAGACAGGGCTGGCAGGCACTGACGGATGCTCACCAGGGCTGGCAGCTCCCAGCTCTGCCCGTTAACCCCGCCAAACCTTGGCTGCATCTTGGCACCACTCTTATTTCATCCGGGAGCAAACCTAGCCTGCCAGGGCTCTGCCAGGCTGCAAACTGACAGCAAGGCAGGCTCTGACCAACCCGGCTCCCGCGGGTCCCCGTGAGCATCCCGACTCCACCCCAGGTCCAGTCGTATCCAGCTGCCCACTGACTCGGCCAACCCAGGAGATGTGGGTACACGGCTTCAAGAAGCAGGGAGGGCAAATCCCAACCCTATCACCCGCTTCCCAGATCCCACAGTGCTTTGTGGCTGAGCCAAGCGGGATGCGTGACCACGGAGCGTGCGGGACGGCTCGGAGGCGAGCTGCTCCGCACAGCCCTGCCCTCCTTGAGCCCCCCGGCATTGCTGGAGGCATCCTGATGAGCCGCAGCTGGTGGGTGAGGATGCCGGGCGCTCAGCCCCGTGCCAAGCTGCCAAGAGATGCCCAAAAAGCTGCCAGCGGGGAGCGGTGACTCACTGTCTGGGTTGAGGAAGAGAAACGCTCGCTGGCGTGGATCCTCCTCCTCTTCATCCATCTTCATATACTTATAAAAACCAAACCTGGGAGACAGAGGAAAGATGAGGTCCCGGAGATAAGGGAGGGGCATACGCGCGAAGGGACGTGCTCGCACACACGGGAGCCCACGTGTGCGTAGGGAGGAACATCCCCGGCTGCAGCGCAGGCACCCAGGCACAGCCCAGCTCCGAAGGGAGCTGGGATTCCCAAAATCTAGGAGCACTGCCAGGTCTCAAGCTGTTACGTGCCCGAGAGACGGGAAAGCAGCCAGCCTGGAGGTGGCCCTTCCATGGGGACGGAGCTCAGGGACACACAGCTGAGGATGTGTCATCTCGGCACCATTTCTCCAGCTCTTTGAGTGCCCTGTTGGCATCAGCCCCTTCCTCCCCCTCCACGTACCACCCCCAAATGCTGGCACCCCAACACTTACTTCTCCAGGTAGAGGGGGGACTCCCTGTAGAAGCACTTGTTCTCCGTCTCCATGTGAGTGAGGCGTGTGAAGTCGTTGGGGTACACGAACGAGAGGTAGACCTGGGGAGATGACCACACCACCGTCACCCCGGCGCAGAGCGGGCTCGCTCCGAGGAAGTGGGGGCCAGCAGGGCTAGGAGCTGTGGACCTGAGGCCACCGGCACAGCCCCTCAACACCCAGGTGACCCCCAGCATCAGAAACACCCTGCAAGGCTTTTAATCCAAAGCCTTTTGTGTCAAGATGGGGAAGCTCAGCCTGGGACTCCAGCGAGGGACATTTTCTCCTGTATTTTAACCAGGTGGAAAGGTCCCTGTCCTGGGGTGGGGGCAAAGCGCTTTGCTTCGCCATGTCTTCCACGGGAGTGTGACCCCGTCCCCGTCGCGGGGAGACACTTACAAATTGCAGGCCCTGGTAGCGGGCGATGGGGAAGTCCTTCACCACGTAGGTGGGGCTGTAGGCACAGGGCACCAGCACGTTCTCCACTCGGGAGGCCTCGATCGCAGGGGCTGAGGAGAAGGAGCCACAGCTCAGCCCCAAGCCGTGTCCTACCACCCCCTAGCCCAGCCACCTTATAGTCTGTAGCCCAAACCATCCCAGCTTGCCCCCCTGTAGGCCCCAGCAGAGATGCCCTCCACCCAAGAGATAGGCGGAAGGTAGGAGGGATGCTCTGGGTGCCCGGGGCAGCCAGGTCCTGCCTTTTTTCTCCACCAAAGCCCCATGGAGATGTGCGAGGGTCCGGTCCCAGCCACTTACTGAGGAAGAAGGTGTCCCTGGGGTCAGACTTCAGCATGTCAGCCCCGTGCTCATCTTGCTGTGCCTCCCAGAGGTAGCTCCCGCTGTGGCTGGCCAAGGTCTGTGGGATGTGCTCCACGTGGTTCATCTTCAGGGACGATTCATCTGTAGAAGGCGAGGACAGAAGCTGAACCCCACGGGCATACAGAGCCTTGTCCCAGGAGCATCCCCCAAGGTGGCACTTCCCAACCTCTCCATCACTCCCACCAAGAGGGCTCGGAGGACTGTGGATTCCTCTGGCTCCCAGGGGAACAAGGGGAGCCGATGTGTTTGCACGAGGGCAAACCCAGCTCCTCCAGCCCTCTCACAAGCTCACAGACCCCATGACTAATCAGCCTAATGATTATTGCCATCAACTAATGAGCACGGACAGGAGAAGGGTAAAACTGATCTCAGGCAAGCAGCCCGGCTCCGATTACCGCACCACTCACCACGCTCAAAGACAAGGGGTGGGAATGCTCGCGGCTTTAACTCCCAAGGACACAGGAGTTAAACCGTGAATGTTCTTCCCCGTAGAGGTGCAGGTAAATGCAACATGAGCTTGTTTTGCCTCCTATTCAGGGACGAAGCTGGCATGTTGTCCTTGGCTATCAACCAGCCCCCAGACCTGCCCGAGGGAGGTCACCTTGCTCCGGTCACCTTGGCCATGCTCTGAGCCACCTGCCCCGAGCACCCAAGGGTGCTCCCTTTCCAGGCAGCCCTGCCTGCTGCGGAGCTGTGGGGAAGCAGGCAGGTCCTGCAGCAAACAGGACCCCCTTTCCCAAGCCCCAAGTTCTTCTGCTTGCAGCAGGGAAAGGCTCCCCAAAGGCCTCCGTGCAGCTGGCTGAGGTCGGGCTGCAACCCCTGGAAAAGCCCAGGGAAAGGGAAGGAAGGAGGATGCTCTGCGTGCTGCTGGCGTCCCCCATGCCACGGGGATGGGCTCCCCGCCAGTGATGTGGCTTTGCCCCGGGATGCTGCCGGGGTCTGAGGAAGCCGGGAAGCAGCAAAGAGAAGCAGAAAGAGCTGGCACTGACAGACAGCGGTTGGGGGGGGAATTTATCTGCACTTCATCTGTCTCATGGGCACCTGCATCAATACCAGCAATACCCCTCTATCCCTCTTCTCCCCATTGATCCCCGCCCATTGCCTGTCCCCTCCTGCCTTATCGACACCTTCCAGGGCGCGTTTGATGACCAGTCCTCCAGCGTATCGAGCACTGGGGCAGGACCCATCTATCAAGTCCTTTCTTGCTGCCAGGGAAGGGGCAGGAAGCAGAAGATCTATAGATTTAATTAAACCTTGTGCCATCCATCCCTGCTTACACGACAGCTCCTCATAACTCAGGGCCAGGCCAAGGAGCCAGCCCTCCGTGGTCTCATTAGCAGGGACGAGGCTGGAGCACCAGGAGAGCTGTGTTTCCATGGCGCATCACCTCCGCATCCCATTTTTAGGAGGGTGACAGCACACTCCCAGCGTCACCCCTACCCATCGCAGCCCCTTGCCTCCTTCCTTACACCCAGCAGAAGCTCTGGGGGGGTTGAGGGGCTGAGATCTTCCCCCAGGATCTGATTTCCCAGGATCTGGTTTCCTTCCCGGGCTCTAGTGCCATCTCTCCCTGGCTGCACCAACACGTAAGCCCCCGAGAGCTTGCTTGCCGTGGCTGCAGGCGGCCACGCGTGGCCCTTACCTGTGTACAGAGAGATGTAGGAGGAGTCGATCACTTCGAACTTCAGGCTGGGGAGGAAAACCCGCCACTAGGAAAAAATAAAAGGAGATGGAGAATGAGTGGGAGGGTGGCAGGGGTTCAGGATGCAGCTGCCCAACCCCAGGCACCCTAGGATGGGTCCTCCCCTGTCCTCAGCTCCCAGAAACTTGCCTGCGCCGATCCCAGCCCCGGCCCTGCAGGAGAGAAACAAGGGAGAGGACTGATCCTGCCCCAGCACGGACCCAGACCCATCTCCTGCCTTCATCCCAGGTGATGTGGGATTAGCAGGCATCCCCTGTGGGGTCAGAGATGGGAAGGCTCCCAGAGGTGGGGCACAGGCTCAGGCTGCTTCCCTCTCGGGACTGCCACACGGCCACCCGTGGTCCCCTGGGCCAGGCAGGCCAGATCCAGCCCCGCAGCACAGCCAAGCGTCCTGCCTCGCAGCGGAGGGACGATGCCGGGGCATGGGGCAGCTTCTCCACATGCCCCCCTTCAACCTCAGGGAACGAAGCAGGGAGGCCACAGCACCCATCACGGACCCGAGCCAAAGCCGACACACACCGAGACCTGCACCACTGCCTCTCCTTCCCGCGCCTCGCTCCAGTGCGGACGAGTTTGCATTGACGTAAGAGGGTCTTCATAGCTGCCTGCACCGATTTACCTACGTGCATTTTAAAAGCATGTCTCGAGCCTTTGTCCGGACAAGTCCTTCAATACCCACAGGGAGAGATGCATTAGGGTCCTGCTTTTTTGTTGTTGTTTCTTTCTGAACATCTGAAAGGCTTCCCTCCCCCCAGCAAAAAAGTCTCCCCCATCTATTTGTTTTTCACAGCAGAAATGCAGATCTTATCGGGACGGACTGAGCCAGAGCCCTGGGAGGGCGAGGCTGAACGATGGGGAGGAGAGAGCCAGCGAGGAAGGGGTGTTGTCAGCCTCTCTGATGCTTTGCTGGCACAAGTTTGACTCCCATGATTAATGACTGCTTGGGAGAAAAGAAACCTTTGCTAACGAGCCAACATCTTCCCCTCCCAAAGACAGCCCGAGCTCCCAACACACACGCTCCAGGCTTTGCCAGGGTTGTGCAGCCAAGGCAGACAAGTTCAGATTTGAAACTCATGGTATCTCTAAGGGAAGAAAGAAAAAAAAAAAAAAAGGGGGACTCACTCCCATCATCTCGGCCATCTCTCCCACCACCGAGCGTGGGATGCAAGCCAGCAAGGTGGGCTGCTGCTCGCAGGTGGTGTCTGGGGACCTGCCTGCTCCCACCTTACACGGTCTGGGCTCTCCTCGCCCATGGCAATGGGCTCCTCAGAGAAGCAGCCCATGGGGGGCCTTTCTCCCTCTGCCAGCCCTTCTGCAGAAGGCCAAGGAGAAAGGAGAAGGGATGGGACTGGCCACACGGAATGGGGTGTCCCAGCGCCACTGGAGCCCGGAGCAGAGGGGCTGCTCCTTTAGCATCCATTACAGGAGCACATCAGCAAGGCAGGAGCACAAGTGAGGGACGGCAGGGTGTTTAGCTCCCGAAAGACCATCAGCACGAAAGGATTGGATGAGCACGGAGAAAAGCAGCCCGTGCCAGGCGTCCTGCCCAGGAATAGCCCAGGGAGATGGGGAGATGAGCCCTAGCTCCATCGAAGCGACGCTGACTCCATCCCCTCTGTGGGCTGAGCCGCTGGCAGCCATGGGAGGCGGGAAATCGTGGCTTTGCTCCAGGATAAGGCCTTTTAACAAGCATCGGGAAAAGCCCTGGCACCGGCTTTTGCCAGGACAAGCCTCGAAAGGAGCACGGCATGGGGACGTTTACTCACGCCAACTTCCACGTGGTCTGAACCTCGGTCATCTTGTTTGTGGAGCAGCTCGAAGTAGTAGCGTCTGGAGGACATGAGGCTGCGCAAGAGGGGAAGGAGCCGGTTAGAAGTTGTTGCTGAGCTGACTGCTACCACTGCCAGGGCAATGGGAGCTCCCCTGCCAGAGGAGCCATCTCGGGAAACCCTCTCTGTCTTCCTGACACATGGCTAAACCTTCCTGCGGCAAGGAGACAGCTGGGCGATGCGGGTGTCTGCTCCCCCATCCCACTGCTGAGAAGCTTCATGAGATCGGGGGATCCCCCGTCCCCACCTCATCATCTGCAGAGGTGGCTGCAGCCCCCAGCACCTTCAGGCCATGGACCCTGGGGGCATGGTTGGTTGACCTCCTGTCCAGCCCAGACCCCACGTGCCTTTTGGTAAGAGACCATGGCCAGGGTCTCCTCCTGGGGAGGAGGAACTGGTCAGAGTCAGCGTGGAGCCAGCAGCTCCGTCTCCCCGACTCCATCCACCCGGAACAGGCAGCGGGAACAAGGACACACTTACTGTAGAGGCTTGGAGACTTGCGAGCTGAATTTGGTGAACTCTCCCGGCGCCGTCCACTCGGTGCCCAGCTGGGGGAAGGAAGGAGCGTGTGAGAGCACCGGGGACACCACAGGCCAAGCGGGCACGAGGCCCAAACCCCCCAGGCTGCGAGAATCTCTCCTCCGCCTCCATCGGGCACCATGCCATGCTGCAGAAAGGCTCCTCAGGCAGGAGGATATCCCAGGAGCTCTATCCCAGGACCTGCTTCTCCCCAGCTGGTGGCACTCCTGCCACAAGAACTTGTCACGGGCCAACAACACCAAGAGCCCAAAAATGCATGGGTGTGACGACGGACCACGGGGGTTCCAGTTGTAGGAGTTAATGCCAAGAAAATCCAGGAGCAAATATTAAATCTCCTATTCTGGGACATAAGCCGGTCTTTGGTAGCTACAATTAGAGTGGGACCAAGGGGCAGATGGTCCTTCAGAAGCCAAACCAGGCCTGGCCAAGGGCAGAGATGGGACCAGGCTGAAATAGCCCGGCATTTCCCAAGGGGGCAAAGGAACAGGAGAGCTGCCTCTGGCAAAGTCACGCACAGACCCTGCACGCTCCCTTTAAGAGCTGTTGCAGCACAGGGACTTGTAGAAGAGAGAATTAGTGGTGGCTAAAGAGTGCCCATGGGTTTGCAACATGGTTAATTGAGCACTAGGGATCCCCAAAAGGCACTCGGGATGGTTATCAGCATGCTGGGAGCAAGGAGTGAGGCACCCCGAGGGAGGAGACGCCCTCGGTGGGAGCTCGAGCATCCCTGGTTCGGGGAAAGGCAGAGGGTCGAGGACGACGGCGCGTACCTTGCCCACGAATGCAGTCAGCCGGGAGTTGGACGGACTCTCGTCGGAGCTGAGCCAGAACTCCGAATTGTCATCCGATGCCACAGAAAACTGGAAATCCCCTGGGGAGAGCAAAGGAGAAGGTCAGCACAGAGGGACACAGCAGCCCCAGTGGCATGGGCTCAGCCCCCGTGCCTCGTTGTGAGATGGGGAAACAGGGAGGGATGGACAGAGGTAACGGGGCCACCCTGGACCCCACGTCGTGGCTCCATCCTGGGTGGGATCGGGGCTTCGCCTCCCTTCAAAGCAACCAGGGAAAAGGGTCTCTGCTCCAGAAGACTCTCCTGCCCGGGAGCCGGGGGTTTGGGGACTGTCTCCAAGAGCCTTTCTGTCCTATTGTGGCCCAAGAAGGCAGGAGGCAGCTTCTCCACGTTGCTGCAGGGGGACAAGAGGCCAAGCTCCATCACTCACCATCCTTGAAAGGGTGGATGTAGCCAAAAATCCTCAGCCCGTAGTTCTTCCACTTGGGCGACACTGCCAGCTTCTTCACTGTGGTGCGGGTCTGCGGAGGAGAGACAGAGACGTGAAAGCCTGAACAGTTCATGCCCAGGCTCGTGCCTGGCACCAACATCCCCCAGCCCACCTCCTCCTTCTTATCCCGGGGTCCCATGCCCCTGGCACCAGAGGGGACGTGGAGGTCCCATCACCACCCTCCTCTTCCTCCATCCTTGCTCTGCTGGGAATTACCTGCTCTGAACCAAAGCAAAAAGCCTTCAAGCAAAGGTCTTGAGGACCAAGCCCACAGCCAGTGGAGACCCAGCAGCACCCAGAGAGGGACGAGCGGACCCTCCCTCCGACCCACCGCCATCAGGCCCGGGACTCACGTGGGGAAAGAGCGGAAAATGGAGGTTCTTCCTCAGGTGCCTCACAGCCCCTCCGCACCAGTCTTCGAAGACGTGCAAGTTTGCCTTGCCTTTGTACTGCGGGACAAGAGAGGGAGATGAGCAGGGTGTCCTCCTCCTCCACCGTCACCCCCTTTGCTGCTCCCCACCTGCTCACCTGCTCGTTCCAGGGCAAAGCCTGCTTGGTCAGGTTGAGTTTGGGGTGTGTCGTGGCCCGGTTGGACCATTGGCCTCTGGAAAACCAGCCATCCAAGTCCTGCCCGTCGTTCTGTCGAGGAAGCAGGAGGGAGAGATGAGAGACGGGGGGATCAGGGCCAGCCCAGCTGTGCTTGCAGGAGGTCTCCCTAGATCTAAACATCTCATTTGGGATGTTCAAGCATTGCCAAACCAAGGCAAAAGCTTTCAAGGCTAATGGCAAAGGAAAGCAGGGGCAGGAGGAGGCAGAAAAAAATTAGCAACGTGTCCTGGGGAGCAGAGTTTCAAAATGTTCCAGCTAACTCATTTCCCTTCCTCTGCCAAGGAGAGAAACTTCTCCCAAACAGTGAGTTTTCTGTTCACCCGAAGTATTTGCCCAGTCTGACAGGCTGCTGGAAACAGAGTATTTTGGGCTCCGTCTCCAAAAGAGCAGAAGCAATCTCTACATCTGCTCACGGGCGGAGGAAGCGGGATGTTTCTCTGCTCCCCCTCTTCCTTTAAAGGGGATTAGGTTAATCCGATCGCTTGTGTCTTGTAATTTAGAGGGATTAGGTGACCACTCACTGCCCCCCGCTTGCCGAAAAGGTGACGGGTGGCAAGAAAGAGCCGGGCGCTTCTGGAGCCCACCCAGAGCACCCTCCTCTTTCACCACATTGGCAGCCACAGGCAGAGCCGGAGCGAGCCCATGCCATCCCGCGGGCACGGCCCCAACTCTCTGCCATCACATCCCAGGGAGCACGGGCGGAGGAGGGACGAGGGACCAGCCAGCACGTGGGGAGGGAAGAGCCATCGGCCCTCTCTAAAGCACCCACCGACCTGCCACTCTGTCCCTCGCCTGGGTGATGGGAAGCTGCGCCCGTCGCACGGGGAGCTGGCTGGTGTCACAGCCCATTGTCACGGTGGTGACGCCTGCACCCAGCATCGGCCCTCTCCAGGGCTGGGACCGAGGGGGCATGGCTGTCAATCCAGGAGGATTCACTGTCATCGTCCCCCATGGCCTCAGCCGGGCAAGGAGGGACCGTGCCACCCCCCGAAGAGCGGAGCCGACCCTCTCTGAGAGCAGAGCCCGGCTCCGAGCCCAGGCGAGAACCACAGCATCGACAAAGCACAGCCCATTAGGATGCACAGTGCCAAAGAAATAATTAGCAAACTTTGCCTAAACGAACTCATTAGCGTCCTGGAGGAGGGGAGCGGTGCCCTTGGAAGACGTTATTAGGGAGGCGGCATAATTGTGCCACGCTTGTTGGAAGGATTCACCCTTCTCCCGGGGAAAGCCAACATGCGATTCCCACTATCCCCCTCCGTCCTCACCCAGCACCATCCCCTGCTTTCTCTGGGCACCACGTTTTTCTCCTTTGTCCATCTGTCCCTCATTTATGAGGAGCTGGGAGAGATCAGAGCAGGGGTCGTCCTCTCTCGCCCATCCCCTGCCAGCCAGCCAGGCGCAATCGGCCCCTTCCCCATCTGTGTTTCTCACCGCCTAAGTGCTGCCCAGCCTGAAGCTGGCTCTCCTTACCAGCACACAGCTCTCCACCCCCAGTGCCTGGAAAAACCTCTCTGTCCCTCTATGGAGAAGGAGCGGAATGGGTCTCCATCCCTTGGGTGAGATGGGTGGAGATGACAAGCCACCGGCATCCCTGCCCTGTCCCAAAGATAAAGGGCCGGCTGTGCCAACAGCAAGATCTGCAGTTCGGAGCGTGCTGGGAGGAAAGTTTTCCATCTCCTTTTTTGAAGGAGCATTTTTTTTTGCTCTGGTTTGCAGAGTCCCTTTGCTTTCAAACTGGAGTGACCTTTTCCCCCGCCTGCCCCAACAGAGGGGACTATTCACAGCCCAGCTCCCCGCAGCTGGAAACGAGGGGGGGGGTGTTCTTCGCTGAAGGCGGGCTGGGCTTTTAATTGCAGAGCCAGCGATGCTGTAGATGTCCAGTGGCTGTGAAAGGCACCGGGCAGGGCTAGGGATAAAGAGATGGGCACCAAGAGGGCTCCGGGCGCAGGGATTCGATGATGATTAATCCAGGACACAGGAGATGGTGGCTTTGCCCAGCAAAGCAGGACCTTATTGCCGTCGGCAGCTACGCAAGAGGGGGGTGCGCAGAAGATGACGCCAGACACTTCTCAGAGGAGCACAGCGACAAGGCAAGAGGCACAAGGCACAACACTAGAAGTTTCAATGGGATATTGGGGATTTCTTTTATCCACCATGAGGGCTGCTAAGCAGAACCAAAGATGTTGTGCCCTCTCCATCCTTGGATCTACTCAGCTGGACAAGGCTTGGAGCACCCTGCTCCAGCTGGCTGTGTGTTGGGTAGGGGACTTGGACCAGTGACCTCCGTAGGTCCCTTCCCACCCCACCGCGCTCCGCTCTCTGATTACCATCGGCTCCTCCTCGTGGCTCTCGCTGGAGTCCTCAGCTTTCCTCTGCCGTGTTGATGCCGGGGCCGCTGCCGGCCGCCTGCCGGGATCAGTCACCTCCCCCAGCCTCTCGCCATCTGCGAGGGGAGCAGAAGAAGGAGTGAGACCACAGCCACCTCCCATGTCCTCCCCACCCCAGTCAATGCCGCTCCTCTTTTGGGGACACCCCCTCGCCCCGGCACGGGGAAGGGCAGGCACTGCCATTGCCACTGCTCCCAGGGGGGACGACAGTGGGGGGCTCCGGCTGCAATTCCCCTCATCACATTTGTACTAAGCAGCTTGCAGCAGCTCATCAGCACCAGGTTTAATTACACCCCCGCAGCCCAGCTCGCAGCCCTTTACATGAAGGATGGCGAGGATAAGCTCCTGTGGGATCTCACCCCACATCCACCCTTGGGGACACATCCCTGCTCCCTTGCCCCTCCAGTCCCTGGCTCTCCCGGAGCATCCTACGGCTCTGCCCAGAGCACACCGGCTCCAAGCCCCCCCCAGACATATTCTCCCCAAACCCATCTTCCCACCCCCCAACACCATGCTAAAGGCACCGCCATGAAGACCTCACTAACAGCCCCGTCGCAGATGACTTCGTTACCGTGCGCTGCATTAATTATTCCCAACCTACGGACTCCCCTCTGCAGCTCACACCCATCTTCCACGGGCTGCAGAGGGAAGGGTTATTTTAAATCGCCCTTGCTGCCCAGCATTAAAATAACCAACTTCCCCCAAAATAATGGCGCAGACTTAGAAAGCGTATTAGTTATTTTGGGGGAGCACATCCCCTTTCTCTGCCACAGCAGATGGGTGCCTCTGAATTTTTTAGACAGGCACCCCAAAACCAGGGTCAGATGGAGGGAGGTGACACAGCAGCTCCTCCGCTGCCGCAGCTCAACCATCCCTTCTGGCATCCATGTTTCAAACTGGCAACATGGGAAGCTCAACGCGATGCTCGGAGAGGCAGGTGTCTAACAGCCACCACCGTGAACACCCATGGGTCCCCCCAAAACCCAGCCGCCCCCATATCTCAATAAGGGGGAGCCCCAGACGTCTCAAGCAGCGGTGCAGCCCTGTCCCCCGGCCATGGGCATCACAGCAAGGGGGTCACCAACACCCTCCCAAGGGTATGGTGAGATGCACCCCCACCCCTCCACACCCTCCTTCCCCCCAACAGCAAGTCCTGGGGGGCCCCTACCCCCCCAAAGCAGAACAGCCTCGGTGGCTGCGGCGGTGGGAGCTGCCAGGGTGGCTTCAGACCCTGCAGCCCAGCCAGGGAGGGGCCTGGGGTGCCCCCGGACCCCCCGCCGCACGCCTCCCGTGCCATTAGTATTCCAGTGGCCATGCAGCCAGCGTCTCCTTGGAGATGGCAGCGCAAATCCCATCCCCACCGCGGGGACAGGAAATTAAGCTCTAAAGCCCCTTCTTCTGCTCTCAGCCATTCTTCAGCCCCTGGCAGCTCCGACTCTCTCCTGGCAGCTCCCTGCCTCCCTCCAGCCGCCCTCCTCCCCTCACCCATCTCCATCCCCGCATCCTCCCTCCCGCGGCCCCACGGAGGTGATGGGGAGCATCGCAGGGAGGAGCGGGACTGGAGCCAGCACTCTCCTTTCGTCTTCTCCGCTCTCGAGACCCCCCCCATCACTCATCCTAGGGATGCTCCTGCCAGCACAGGCGGTGGAAATAAAGCCGATCCTCGCTGTGCTGAGGCCGCAGATGCCACTGCTCCGGCACAGAGCACTGGGGACAGCGTTATTCCCCCCCACGCTGATCTGTGGATTAATCATGGCCACGAGTAGGAGTTCAATGCTCCCAAGGGACCGGCCAAGGGCTGGGATGCAGCGGCCAGCTCTGCGGTACCCACGCAGGGTATCTCTCCCGGCCTTGGAGGAGATGAACCGCTCTTCCACCAGGTTTGCCGGCTCAGCATCCGTTTGCGATGCAGGCTGGGGGTGCCACACTGCAAGTCCTGTCCCCAGGATGGACTAAACTCCCATAAGGGCGTCTGCCACCAAAACCCAGGTCCTGGCAAGCAAACCTGAGCCAGCAGCATCCCAGGCTGCATCCCCAGGGGATGGCTTTTCGCTCACCTCTGGGTACCACACCAGGGTTTGGGCCTCTGCTAGAAGGCATCAGGTAAATTGGAGAGAGGTTATTTGATATAAATTAGAGCAAAGGGGGGAAAAAACACGTGTTCCCCTCAGCAAGGCTGTGCAGGCTCTGTCCTTGGAGGCTCTCAAGGCCCAAAGCCATGAGCCCCCCGCTCGCTCTCTGTCCCCATCACCCAGCTCCATCCTCATCAGGGACCCTCTCAAGCTCCAGCAGCTCCTCTCAGCCACCATAAAGGAGCAGGACAGGGCTTGTGCTCCTTACTTTGGTTTGTATCTAAATTAAACGCCACTGCTGCTCTGACAGGGTTTAAGTAACGCTGAGGCTCAAAACCTGCGTGCCTTCAGCAAAACCCGCTCTCTTCTCAGCGGGGAGGCAAGTGCTCGCTCCGAGAGGCGCTCGCATCCCAGGAGGAGCGAAAGCGCCAGCAGAGCCCCAGAAAAAGGCTTCCAAGCTTCTGTGCCGATGTTTATTCCCGTGCAATTCAAATATTGCATAGGAAAGTCAAGAGCAGCCTTAGCCAAACACCCAAATGCTAATCAGCCTGTGTGGGAACTGGAAATATATGCCCCCCTTGAGAGGGAAAGGCCAGCACCTTGTACCAAAGAGCATCACTTTGCTCCCCCCAAAAAACCAAGCCCCTTTGGTCTGAACCTCACCCCTGCGAGAGAGGAGCGGGTCCGGGGGTACGAGAAGAGGAGGGAGAAAGCAGCACTGGGAGGAACGGGGATTTCGGTTTCCCCATGGCTTTGTTTCGTCCTACGCATCCTCACAGCGCCCTCCGGGACCCCCCACCAGCCATGCCCAGCCCGGCTGCTCCTCCAGCATCCCCCCGGGATGCCCACCCAGCACCGCCATGCTGATCAGTTCTGCTAACCTGCCTCTTTCTCTTTTTCAAGGACCATAAAGAGCTGCGTAAAGGCGGGTAGCAGGGGGTGAGAGGATGGGGGAAGGTCTGGAGGACGAGCAAGGGACCTGCTCGCTCAGGGGACGGCATTACCTCAGGGATGCTCGGCAGGAATGCATTAAGAGCAATTCCCCAGCGAGCGCGATGCTAAAGCTTTCAGAGCAGCACAAGGAGGGGGCAGGAGATGCGCACGCCATCGCACGAACCAGCTCTGAGTCACGGCAGCCTCCAAAGAACGAGCCAGGGCCGGGAGCGGTCCTCGGGATGAGACCATGGGTGCAAGGGACCAAGCACCAACCCCATCACACGGCACAGAAACCAGGGCGATGCCTCCCCAGGGGCGATGAGTTTCCCTGTTATCACGGTCATGTAAACCCGCTTCGTGCCGCCTCCCCCTCCGCCGGGAAGCACAGAGGGCCTTTCACGCAGCGAACTCCGGCCTCCCCACCTCCCTCCTCTTCCCCTCCTGCTCAGCTGACAGCACGCAGCTCGCTCACCCCGAACACAGGCCCTTTCTTCGGTTGGGTTTCGGAGCCGGGATTTCTCTTGCAGCTTTCTGGACCCTTTCCAAACCCTCCAACATGGTTAGAGATGCCCCTCGCTTACGCTTCCTCCTGCATCTCCTAATTGCTTCTAATTAGTCTCCCCTCCACGGTCGCTTGCTGCAAGCTTGCTCTGCTCTCACCTACCACGTTCCCAGACCAGTCCCCCAGGGATAAACCCAGACACAGCCCAGCAAGCTGAGCTCCCTCAGCACAAATGGCGGGGAGCTCACAGGAGCATCCGCAAAAGGCTGGGATTCCCAAAATCCCTGGCTCCTGCCCTCCAGCTGGATGCTCGGCACTGACAAGCTCTGGCTGCTCAACAGGAAGGGTCCCATGGGGAGATGTCAGGTGGGATGCTGGTCCTGGCCATCAGGCAACCACGTACGGAACGGATGGAGCCACCAGGGAGAAACTGCCGGGATGAGGTGGCGGTCGGGGAACGCCTTGGTGTGCTCTGCCCAGCTCCAGCTACGCCTGCGGCTCTGCTCCCAGCCCCTGCAAAGCCCTGATAAAGATGCAGGCAAGCTGGCTGGGACTGGAAAAATGATGATATTCCAGAAAAACATCGCGTCTGAGCTCAAACGCCCAAAATCTTGTGCTAAAAAAAAAAAGCATTTAAGCTGCAATTTGGAAGTGCCCCATGGGGCATCCCGGGAACTGTGATTTGGTTTCCCTCGGGGGGCACGGCACCGTGCCCCGGGGGATGCGGCTGGCGAGGGCAGCCCGGCCGCGGGAGGAGACGCCTATGCCTGCGAGGAAGCCTCAGCACCGCTGCACGCGGGAGCCTACGGTTGCCCACCAGCTGCCCCGACGAGCAAACCGTGACCGGAGCGATGGAAAGGGAGATGGATGGATTTAGCTCAGTGCTCCAAGAAATCCCCCCTGGGGGCGACCATCTGCTCCCCTGTCTTCCCATTCCTGCAGCAAAATCCACACTGGATGGGAGATGCCAAAGCAAGCCGGAGCTGCCTCCAGCCCAGCTGCGAGCAGCCTTGCCACCGTCCATCCCTGAAATGCCGGTGGACTGGGCTGCAACGGGTTGCCAAAACCATCTAGGCATGTTCAGAGCTGCCTCTTACCCTGGATCCCTACCTCCCGCTAAAAAGATGAGCTGGGAAGCAGCACCACGGCCCGTGCACAGGAGATAGGGAAAGGCAAGGGGAAATCCAGCCAGAGCCAGAGCTTCCCCACCGACGCCAAGCCCTCTGCTCTAACCCAGAGCTGGAGGTGGGTTTTGCTACTCACAGAAACACAAGCCTGGGATTTGCTGCTCTCCTCATCATCCCAAAGCTGCTCCCCAGCACACCCCAAAGCCGAGGGATGGGTGGTGGGGGTGAGATGCAGGACAAGCGCCGGTCCCAGGCTGCCCACCCTGAGGGATAACGTTGCACTTCCCAGCGACACAGGGCTGCTCCTCCTTTTTGGCTTGGGGACAGAGCCTGTCAGAGCAGCCAGCTCTGACGCTCAAAAATCAGGCAAAGCCTTTGGAGGCTGGAAAACACAAGGGCCTGGGTTAATTCCCTTAATTCCCGCTGCCAGCTGCTGCAGGAGACCTTGGGATCAACACAGGAGATTGCCGAGGGACCTTCAATGGGCACAAGCTGCTACCTCACCTGCCTCGGAGGATACAGATACAAGAGGAAAGGCCACGGAGGAGCTGGGATGGGATGGGATGGATGCCCTGCATCTCCGTGCCACAAGGAAGCGCTGCTCAGGAATGTGCTGGAAACACTGGGACAACACTGTGAAGGTCAGGACGCTGAGGACCAGGTTTCGGGCATGCTGAGTGCCCCCAAGTCTGAGCTGACATCTTTGGAGACCCACCACCCAAGCAAGGTCTGTGCATGTCCTGGCTGCCTCTGATCTCTGAACTTCTGCGGGATGCTTTTGAGCTCTCCAAATCCAGAAGGACGGCAGAGGGACAAAGCTTCTCCAGCATCCAGTCTGGCTACTCTGAGTCTGTCCACATGGCTCAGAAACACTGCAAGGCTTCCGTAAAGAAACTCTTGCCCATCCAGATCATCGCACCCATCCCCCCTCTCCCCATAGAAAAAGAGAACTCAAACTCTACCAAACCAATGAGCCTGCAAAGAAAGTGGGGGGAAAAAAACAGCCCTGCTCTTGGGAAAAGCGTGGTGGCACGTGAAGCTACGACCGTGCTGAAGGGGAACACCAAGCCCCAGCGAGATGTGGTACCCGTGTTGGGAGGATGGTGGTGAAAGAGGGATGAAGGCGGCAACGTGAGCCAGAAGACGCACCAGGGACGCAGCAAGCGGGCGAGCAGCTCAGGGAGAACCATCCCGAGCATCTGCCGTGGGTTCAGGGAACAGCAAAGGAGGGCAGCCCAACTCCGACGCCTTCCCAGGGCGAGGAACGGGGCAGCTCGGGGGAGCGGGTCTCTGCCCAACAAGTCCTTACCAGCGAGGAGAGACACCAGATCCACAGCTGCAAAAGCAACGGTGTTAAACTGGGTTTACACCCCGGGGGAATTCAGGCTGATCTCTCCACGCGTTCACACAGGCACAGGAGCCTGGCAGCCAGTAACAAATAAATCCCAAACCACATCAGGACCGGCAGCAGAGCGATGCCTGGGGAGGTGCCCACCTCCACAGGAGCCAGCGGGAAGGAGAGTGGGCAGAGAGTGGGCAGAGAGCGGGCAGCCCCCTCCCAGGGCTCTGGTGCCCGTCCTCGGCCCTGAGAGCTGCTAACGCGCCTGTTTTCCCCTGCAATGTGAATGGTGACATCTCTCCGGCCACACAGGACCACCGCAGGACCGCTCCACGCCCCTGCACATCCTCCCAGGATGCCGCCACGGGGCAGAAAACCGAGCCCATCCCTCGGGGCTCAACCCCCAAGGGCTGAACGGGGGCAGCCTGCCGTGATGGGCCTTGGGGGGAGCGGAAGGAGCAGCCATGTGAAGCGAGGTGACATTTAAACCCAGACAGAGCTGCAGCAAAGGTGGCAGTGTTGGCATTTTTATTAAACCCACCGGTTTAATTACCAACAGCGTGGTGCTCTCCAGTGCAGACACAGCCTCCGAGTCAGCTGCCAGAGAAGAGGCGTGTGAGCATCCCTCCACCGACCCTCCTAACGAGCTGTTAAGCAATTATAATTAGCGAGCAAGGAGTCAATATTGCAAACCCCCTTCCACCGCCGCAAAAACGCAGCGCTGCCCGCCAGGGAAAAACAACACCGCGCTGCCCGCAGCGCTGCCTGCTCCACGGCAGCCGGGGGAAACCCGGGCGGCGGGTGCTCACACAGGCTGGGTGACAGGAGGTGACATCGATGGGGTGGAGGAGAACGGGGCTCGTGACTGCGATGGGGATGCAGGCAGGGGTGCAGGATCAGTCCCCCGGGCAGCCCTTCCCTGCCTGCTTTGGTGGCACTTCTACCTGCCGCCGGCTGAGAAAAGGGTTTCGTTCCAGCCCCTGGGTCACTGCCTCAAGGCACAGACGCCAAGGGAACTAGAGGAGCGAGGGGATTTTTTTTTCCTGCCTCCCCCAAACCAATTCATTTCATGCTGTTTACCCACTCTGTGACATCCCTCTCAGCCAGCACAATGGAAATCAATGCCGAATCGCTCAGGGCCAGCGATGGAGCTGCCATGAGACCACTCAAGCTGACAGACACCCTCCAGGAGAGGCAGCCCCGACATTTCCACGCTCAACTCAGGGTCCCGAATCCCTCCTGTGCACTGGCAGCACCCAGATCTGCCCCATTTTCCCCCAGCTCGCACCTCACCGCACATCCCTTGCCCTCCATCTCCTCCAGCATTGTTTCATTTTGCCCCAGCTCCAAGCCGTGCTGGAGCGGCTCCGGCCGGACCACGCACCCGTCCCCCCGCCCTGCCCATTTCGATGGGGACGATGCTCCCTCACGGCCCTCGGCACGAAGGTTTCGCTTCCCGGGACACAGCCTCCGGAGAAGGCTACTCGTAGCCTGTGATGCGCTGGGAATCAGGCAGAATTTATTTCAGTCTAAAAGTATTTCAGCCCCCGACCTCCACGCTGCCCTGCAGACAGCCTGTGGGGTTCACCATTTCACCTGCCAGCTCTCCAACCTGTTTCAGCCAGCGTCTGGTTTATCTCCACCAGCCCCAGGTGCTTTTAACCTTTTCCTTTGCTTTAATTTGGCAGCGAATTCGGCTGAGCTCTACCCCTCTGCGGGGACCATCCGTTCCCCAAAATCCGCCTGCGCATCACACTTGTGCGGTCCTGCCGGTCAGCAGCCGGCTCCCACCCGTCTCCTCGCCCAGCCGAAATCCCTCAGTCCTGCCATTGCCAAGGCAACCAGCCACCGATACCTCGATACCTCGGGGCGGCTGCTCATCTCCTCCCAAAGAGCAGCTCTGGAGAGGCTCAGCCGTGGCACAGTGCCGGGACGGGATGGAGGGGAGACGCACAGCGGTGCTGGGAAGGATAAAGCTCCCCAAACACCAACACAAAGAGCTCCTGGTGCTTGGGAAAAGCCCGTACCGCAGGGTGTGGAAAGTGGTTTGCCCCTCCCGAGCATCTCCAGACAGACAGCAGCTACGCCTTCCGAGCAGAACGTTTTCCTAATAAAAAGCCAACATTCCCGTGCCAGCCCTCGCAGCCATCACCTCCAGGCCAGGGGAAGCTGAACGCGATGGCAGCGGTCAAGACGGGTGTCACCCGCCAAGACACCCATATGGGTAACCCGCAGCACCTCCCAGCACAGCCATGGCCACCCAAGCACCCACTGCCAGAGCGGTGCCATGCCCGGTGCTGCCCTGGGCTCGGAGGGCATCGAGCCGGCCGGCTGTGGGACAGGGCTCCCCTGCATCGCGCCGCCGCGGCCAGTCCCGGCACGCCAGGGCCCACCTGCTCCTCGCCCCCCCTCCGCCGCCGCGCTCCCTCAATCGCCTCTTTGACGCCGAAGCCGGCGGCACAGAGAGGGCTGTGACCATGGCCGCGCAGCTGGCGCCTGCTGGGGATGCGCTTGCCACCCCGCATCCCTCCGAGCCCGGCGGACGCAGGCAGCGGGCAAAGGTCCCCGCCACGCCAAATCCCCCGGGATGCCGTGCTGGATGAGCAGAGCTACGGGTCCTCCGATGCCCTCCCTGGGATTCTCCGAAGGCTGCTCAACTCCACCACGGCACGGCGAGGCTGGAGAAGCGCTGTGCGCCTGAGGGGCCTGCCGCCCCAGCACTTGGCCAGCCAGGCTTTCCGGAGGCCCTTCCAAACAGATCCGCCTCTCTCCCAGACACAGAGGAGGCAACCAGCGACCCCGGCTCACTGCAGAGCACCAACAGCTCCGCCGTGAAAGGAGACTTCAATAGAACAGGAAAACAGCGCAGGAAATTAATTGACAGCAAATGTCCACATTAAAGGGAATGGGGAATATTTTTTATCAGGGTGTTTTATGTCTTTTTTTTTTTATGTTTTTAAAAGGACTTCAGCTGCCAGGACTTGGAAGAGCCTCCATGGCTGAGGAGCGATGAAGGGACAGAGCGCTTTGCTCTCTTCTTCTGCCGTCACCGAGGTCCAGCGGGACCCGCTGACCCATCCCCACATGGACACGCACGTGCCGAAACCATCCCCTCTGCCCGGGGCCTGGGGTTTCTGCAGCGACCGGAGCGACAAAGGCACCCACAACATCCCTTCCCCGGGGAGGGACCGCGCAGCTCCCAGGAGGGCAGAGCAAAGGGCGAAGCATCCCTAGAAATAAACCGCGTCCAGGCTCCTGCCGTCACACGCTCGGTGCCCGAAACTCTGGGGCGTGCAGGGTGAATCCCCAGGGATCCGCTCCCACCCTCGCCCGCCCCACACCCGAGTGTTTCGGGCAGAGGCAGCAGGACCCAGGGCCGGGGTTATAAAGCCCTTTTCCCTGGGTACGGGGTCAGATCCAGGCTCCCCCCATGCCCTGCCCCACTGGTCACAGCTGCGGGCAAGAGGACCAGCTCCGGTACCGAGCCCAGCTCAGGGTCCCCACGCCGTCGCTCCAGCACGCCACAACACCAGGGACAGATGGCCGGAGCAGAGGCAGGATCAGGCTCAGGCACCCTGCCCTGCCCCACTGCTGGGGTGCATCACAGCAAGCCCTTAGCCCCCCGACCAGCGGCGAGCAGAGCTGCAGCAACCAGCAGCGGGAGGGCAGAGTTAAGGATAAAACCAAATGGGTTACGCCAGCGTGATTTGCTTTGCTATCAAGCCCTGCCATTTCCCACCTCCCCTGGCTTCAAGGGCCTTTTTGGGGACCCCCTGGATGCCAAGGGGACTGGGCCGCAGCCGGGCTGGGGAGAGGTGCTGCTGCAGGGTGGTTCAAAGCCAGTTGTGCCTTTGAACAGCCAAATTTTTGCCTTTGAATAACCCAAAATAGGTACCTGCCAAATTTTTCCCATACTTCTCCCCCATCACCTGCCAAAAAGCCCCGAGACGCTCACAGCCCCCCCCAACCACAGGACAGGGCTCGCTTGTCCATCCACCCGCCTCCTTTTCCACCCGGCTTGCTCTCGGCAGGTCCGGCGTGGTGACAAAGAGCCGATTCAGTGGCGCACCTGAGAGGAGCAGGGCAAGGAGCCCAGGGCAAACCAGGCCACAGCCCAGCAAGGAAGACGAGGGCTGCAGGGCTTCCCGGCCGAAGAAACCCTCCCAGTGACACCAAAACCAGTCCACTCCCCTGGCTCCAAACCTCCCTTTTCGGCAGCAGGGATGGGACCAGCGTTCTCCGCACCGGGACCCCGCGCCGAGGGGGTGTCTGTCTGGGGAAAGCAGCCTTTTCTAGCAGGGACAGGAGAGCGGGGCGATGCCAAGAGAAAGAAAAGCAGTACCCAGCCTCCTCGCAAACCCCGCTGCCCTTCCTCTTCAAAGGGCTCTTTCTCATCCTCTTCCCTACCTGCTCCCGGCATCCCTGACAAAAGGAATGAAACCCACCGCTGTTTGCAGCGTTTCAGCCTCCCAATTAAAATCAAAGGATACATCACAACCGCTCTGTCCAAAAGAGATGCGCTATCCCCTGCAGCTCGGGGGAAACGCTGCTGCACGTCATCCCAGCCCTTCTCCCTGCCACCCTCCCCGCGCGCGAGGCCCCGCAGGACGGGTGCCCAGGCAGGGGCAGGCGAGGACGAGGCTCCGCAGGCAGCGGCGGGCTGAGCCGAACAAAGAGCATCCAAGCCATCGCTGCCTCTGGCTCAGCGCATGTTTGGGAGCCCTCCGGACCACGGCAGCGGGGTGCCCCCTGCTCCCGCAGGCCAGCGGCTCTTCCTCCAGACAAAGTTCAGGGGGACGCACGCAGCTGGACCCGGGCAGAGCCACGTCCCGTGGGTATCAAGAAGCCCAGCTGGGTTTTCCTCCCCAGACGGCCCTGCTTTCGCCGTGAATTGGGTTTAGCATCCTCCTCGCCTCCTCCAGCACACAGCCTGCGCTCCCCCGGTCGCGAAACCTTCCTAAAACCTGGCTCCCGGCGCCGCCACGATACCCCCGCGTGCTAAATCACTGCCCCGAGGAGACGGCTGCCGGGGGAGCAGGGCCAGCCCCGCACCCCTGCTAAGAGCCAATTTAGATTTTTACTGTAATTTTTCTCCCTTCTTCCTTTTTTTTCCTTTCCACCTGGCATGCCAGCATTTCCACCCCATTGACTTGGAGCAGTTTCCAGCCGGGAGAACACCGTAATGGCCTCATTATTTCAGATGAGGAATCTGTGTGTTCAATTAGGCAGAGAAGGGTAATTATCTACTTGTAGAAGATAAGAAAAGGGGGGTTATTTTATCAGGGACTTAACACCAGCACAGTTCCCAGCCGAGTCCCTGGCTGCTCCAGCTCCACAGGCGACCGCCGGCTGGGCCGGGGGACACCGGTACCCCTGAATAATCCCCCCGCGCCTTCACCGTGCTCCTCAACGCACGCAGACCCCACCGCCGCCGCCTGGCCGGGTCCTCCCCACCTTACACCCCCCCAAGCTACCAAAAAGCCTCGTGCCCTGCACCTTCAGCCTCCAGAAAGTACATCTGCTTGGTGACACTTCATTTAATGAGTAATTAACCTTTTTTTCATACAGCCTCTGCCAGCTGACGCAAGCCAGGCAGCATCCTCAGCAGCAGGCAGACAGGTACTGGCTCACAGTGGCCACAAAAAAACCAAATCATCTCCAAATCTCAGACAGCTTTTGGTGCCCAGACCCTTGCGGTGATGCTGAAGAGCCCTGCATCCTCCCCAGCCACCTCTCCCCCTCTGGGGACAAGCGTCCCCCCATCCCTAAGGGGTCTGGGACCAGGACACACCGAGCTCCCCACAGCGGGGTCCCAGCTGGCGAGGGATCCCACAGCCATGCGGATCAGGGAGGAGAAAGGAGACACGCGAGCCAGGAGGGCACGGTGACCCCCCTCCCACTTGCTCACCCCAGCCCAGGGACACCTGCTAAGCCCTGGGGAATATTACATTAAATTAAATTAAATAAGCTCCACCACCGGCTTGGGGGAGGCCTCTGGCAAAAGCTGGGAGATAGAGGAGAGCAAACCCCATCCCCACTGCGGCGGGACCCCCATGGCCACGGGAACCAAGCTTTTCCCCCAGCACGGCACGAAGGCAGCTTCAACGCAAGCGAGGTGGAGGGGAAAACATCTCCAGGTCGCGGGGGGCTGCCCCGGAGCCCCCCTTCAGCACAGCTCTGCCTTTCAGCTCTCCCCATGGCTCAGCCCCAAACCCTTCCCTCTCCCCCCAGACTCTTGCCCCGAGCTTCTTCTTGGATATATTCTTTTTTCCTTAGATATATTTTTTATTCCTTTTTTTTTTTCTATTCCATTCAATATTTTTCCAACTAAAACGGCTCCCTGGCTCTCCCACTCCGGCTCTCTGCTGGGCTGCAGCAGCAGGACTAGGGTCCGTCGACACACGACCGAATCCCTTCCCCAGTCTCCACCCAACCCCTCTCCATCCCCACATTTCAAAAACAGGCTCAGCGGGACCTAAACTCCAGCTTTGCCGCACGTTTGCCCAGGCTTTAGGCACCAACTGGAAAATCCCAGTGCAAGGAGCAGCATCTCCGGTCCCGGACAGCAGAGAGGAGCATGATGCAGCCCAGGAGAGGTCCAGCTTCCCCTGGGGAACCACCCACCTCGCCGCACCCCAGCCAGAGAAGGTGCCCGTGCCCCCCATGGCATGGGGCAAATCCAAACCCCATCGCCAGACCAGCAGAAAACACCACTGGAGCATGGTCCTCACCTGGCACCTCCCAAGCCATGATCTGCCCGCGCCGTCCCATCCACCGCACACCCCCATCTCTCTCCCCACCTCCTGCGGACCCTCTTCTCCCCCGAAGCCATGTGCCGACCGCCGCCGGCTCGCAGCCGCCCAGCTGCGCTGCAGCCGCAGGGCTTCCCCGCTGCGAGCCGGAGCAGGGCTGTGCGTGGCCGTGCATCTCCTCGCTGCCACAGCAAACCCTACGGCCGCCCTCGGGGCGTCCTGAGGGGCAGGCTGGGATCCTGGGCACGTAGGCAGGAGGCGGGGGAGAGCGGGAATAGGCACCCATCGAGTCAGCACCCAAAAACGCACCCAGGGCAGGCGTTTGCTCGCCGGTACGCAGGCGTTGCCCTGTGCATCCTCCCTGGATGAAGCCACGGAGGAAAATCTCCTCTCACCCTCGCGCCGCTGCGTCCCGACACCCGGGGGGACCCCAATCCGCGGTTTTCCCAGCCAGCCGTCCGCAGGGCTGGCGATCCCGCCCCATCTCCCCCCCGCCCGAGGCTGCCAGTCCCGAAAGAGGAAGGATTGGGCCCTCCTTAACACCAGGATAATCGCCGGGACACGGGGCAGCCGCTCGCGGTTAGACTTCTGTAACTTGTGGCTTTTCCATTAAGCAGGACCCTGCAGCGGAGAAAAGAAAACAAGCGGCGCAGCCTCCCCGTAGCCGCTCCTTCGAGGCGATGCACAAGCAGCCTCATTTCCTGCTTCTCTTATTAGCATTATCCCAATTTCACCGTAAGGCCCAAAAATTTGCAGGATCATGCTGCTGCTAT